GTGGCCGTGTGCTAACACACACTCACACAGAGCGGAGTGTATTGGATATTAATTGTGTGCCGCGGACACTGTCACACAAATCAAGGTTGCGTTCCAGAGCACATTATAGTACGAACGATCAGTATCGCCTACGTTACATGAAGAAATACTTTGATTTTATTTTATTAATCTCTCTAATATTTAAGACGAAGTTCTGTTTATCTCCGACAATGTACCGTGACGATATTACACGCGTGGCTAACGCTGGCCAAATCTTCAGAGAAAAGAGATGAAGCTGCAAGCAGAAAACTTATATAGTATAGTATGTATAGTATGTATAGCTTTATACTGATATAATAATTGCTTATTTATTTCATAGATTCGTAAACGGGCTTTCGATAGTTCTGGCGCTAAGTGGTCTAACATCATGTGTGATCTAAGCCCCAGTTGCCTTATTGCAATATAATATAGATAAATAATTATTATAATCCATTTACAATAACATAGACTAGAAATAAATAATACTGTCTTTCGTTCTCAGAAAGATCTTCCTTGCACTTTTATCATAACTTCAATCTTAATATTGAAGCAAATGATATTAAAACCGTTGGAGGTGATTAATTTGCATATTTATTGGTGTGCGGAGTGCGCCCGCATTACTTGACAACATCGTGCCGATTGATATTAACTGACTAAGTACTGACGTACTTGAATAAGTGCCTCGCGGAGGGGAAGTGGGGGCAGCAGCGGGGAATGAGTTATATATTATAATGCAACAAATTATACTAATACAAATTATAAAATTCTTACAAACCTAAAACAAGACTCTTAGATTTAAATGTTATACCACAGAACTAAGGTTACCGTATCCATAAATCCATATATTCTATTCAAGTTTGTACTTACCAAGTGTATACAAAGATAAGCATTTAGAGCACACCGACCATTTTAGAGTAAAGACAATTAGTACGAGAAATTAAGAGTTGACATACCGTTCATCCGCATGCGACGCCGCGCGCCGAGCTTGTGCATAACCTATAAATAATTGCAAACCAATCCACATAAGAAACAGCTACCATACCAAATATGCTCCATATCTCTTCACAAAAATTCACTTTCGGAGAAATAAACAGAACAAATAGCCGATTACTCTATAAAAATAATAGTTGTCGGTCCTCGGCTGGCTGCGAGCCAACTCGAACGAACCGCGCTGCCTTACTCGTTCCCCAAACGACAATACCGTACTGACAAATTATTAAAACTATTGAAATTACATGTATCAGCAGAATATCAAACAGAAAGACTGGGAAGAGAAAACAAAAATGCATTCCATATCCGAACGCTGACGCTTTTCAAATATTCATAATGACGCCTGCGCTGGGTCGTGCATTGTGAGACGCGTTGCTTTAATTACTGAAGATGACAATAGACTTCTGACCTAAGTAATCCCAATTCTACGACTCGTTTGGAACCTCTAAATTTATTGAAAACTTCAATTCCTATTATTTATACCGTACGTTCCATGAGGAGTGCTTTAAAGGATCTTGGTTTTTTTTTTTATTCCGTAGATGGGTGGACAAGCTCACAGCCCACCTGGAGTTATATGGTTACCGGAAGACATAGACATCTATAACGTAAATACCGCCAGCCACCTTGAGATATGAGTTCTAAGGTCTCTGTATAATTACAACGCCTGCTCCACCCTTCAAACCGAAACTCGTCACTACTTCATGGCTGAAATAGGAAGGGTGGTGGCACCTACCCTTGTGGACTCACAAGAGGTCATTTCACGAGTAAAGATAGTGTCTACAAACAGGCCTGTGACTGTGGGCTTTCATACATAAGGCAGACCAAGAGATAGATTTCGGTAAGAGCTCAGGTGCACATTGCGGACGTGAAGATAACCAGTACACAAACCCGCAGCTTGTCAACATGCGCGCACCGTCATACCAGTCTCTGACATTTGACAAACCCCAACTAGTCACTAGACAAGCTATTTCCATCTTATGACGAGTGCGTAGGACCATTGAAATTAATAAAGCACCCAAATTAACTGCCAGACCTCAAGGTACTGTTAATTCTTTTTTTATGTGAAGAAACTCAAATGTCAAGAAATCCTTTATAGAAAATTTGACGGTAGTCTGCGTAATATTGAAATGTTGACATCAGATGGCAGCGCGCATCCGCGACCACGCAAACTGTACATTATTCGATACTTCGGAAATAATACGATTAAAGTAATGAACGGGGCATGCGCGCTCTCGTGTTATTATAACAATTATGAGATACAACACGAACATCAGAGTCAATTAATATGAATGGTCCGGCAAGGCTTTGGGATTCAATTACAAGTCGGCGCGTGAAGGTCTCGCACAATGAACGCCTTCATTTATATCTGTCGCCCAGCATTGAACGCGCACAGTTCATTAACTGCAGGCGCCGGATTAATGAGAAATAACTTATTCATTACAGATAACGAGATATTAACGATACTAGTGGTCGTCGACCGAAGAAATACGTAGCACCTACAGAGGCGGGTCGCGTCCTCATCCGTTAATTAATTAGATACGGATCTGCGGCCGTTCCCTCCACCCCAGCCCCCACTCGCCCGGGCCCTATGTATAGAGCCGCGAGGGAGCAGCGAGTTGGCCTAACATAAATCTCGTTTTTATTAGAGCCCGACTCCGGAAATCGAAAATGGAAATGAAGGTAACCGATCACCGGACACATGCTGCGGATACTCCCTCGGGCGAACTCTACGATATACTCACTACGTCGTAGCCGCTACGCCGTAGTCGCTACGGCGTAACTGCTTCAAGCTATTTATTCCTTGCCTTCGGTTGAAGTTGTGAACACACATTTTATATTTATGATGTTTCACTTTAAAGTTTTGTTTAAAATTAATTTAGTATTAGGTCATCAATCTAGTTATTGCTGGAAACTATTTAATTTTGACATGAATACAAATAACACAACATGACGTGCTGAAAGTAAATGAGGAAAAAAGAAATTCAATCAATTTAATCTAAGACTGTTCGTATTTGTAAATTCAAATATTAATAACTGTATCTATCGATCTTGTTAGATTCGTTTCGTTTTATACGAAATGCCGAACTAAGTACTTGATGTTAAACATTAAGTATCAAGCCTCTATGGCACGGGAGAAGTAACGAAAATTTATGATACAAAAAGCTATCAAAATTTCTGTTCCACCTGAGTAGAGAGGACCACACTCAACACGGATAATTAACTCATAGAAGAACTAGCAGGAAAACGATAAAAAGGGTAGTCACACTCATCCTCAGAACGAAGATGCAATCTACCCGAATGTCTCCTGAACCAAAAATATTGTTATCTCCCTTGCTCGACCGTTCATTCGTCTTCTCCCCCGGCAACTCCTGCGGCTTATCAAACAACTGATACTTTATGTACACGAGAGATATTAAATGCGCCGCAGAGAGAAGTAATCCCTCTTTACGACTCAGCTATTCATATTTTTTACGCACTAAATCTCACGTAAATTTCTTTGAATATCGCGCGGTGCTCTGACTCGACCTCACAGATCCTTCACCTCATTTGTTTTATTTTATTTCCACGATTCACTTTGAGTTGTTATGCTCAATGAATTACAACCACGATACATCATCATCACTTCGTGTTGACGATCTAACGCAAGATAACGTTAACCAAGATACACACAGTCATATCAACATGAGCTCACATTAAGCTGTAAAATGTATATTTAGAAGTCGTCGTCGGCTACAGGATAACAAGGCCGATGTACTCGTATATTATTATATCGTATATTCCCTATACTCTGAGAACTAGAAACCGATATACGTTTGAATCTATACACATACAGTTAATAACCCAAACAAAGAGCAAACAAACCTAATCATCACATGAGTATTTGCCCCATTTAAGGACCAAACGGGCCAGCAATCAGGAGCACTAATTACTGCACTACCAAGCCAATCGTCTGTCAGTCCGTCTGACTTACACGACGAAGTAATAGCATCACTAATTTAATAAAAACGAAACATGCTTAAATTACATGTTGCGTACTTACAAGTGGTAGACCCTCTTGGGAGTCAGCGCGAGTAGGTACCACCGCCAACTGCTTTTGCCTAGATTGGAATGTATTCCTGTTTGAAGGACTCTCCCGTCACACAACCGTTGTACTATAACATACGGTATGCTAAACTTATACCTCAGGCCTCAAGGTACATGGCCGCATTCATGTTGTGTTATCATAGGCTCCGTAACCACTTAACAACTTTGTGTGGCTCAGGGGCTCGACCAACTATTGTTGAAGTCTTCATATACCGGCTCTACTATATCGCTCAACAAACCAGAACGCATGACTACTCAACAGGATAGACTCCCTGCAGCTACTAGTTATCAGTCAAAACCAATTTGAGAATTCAATTTTCGCTAATAATTATGAAATTGGCAAAAAGCGTCTAGCGCAGGCCTGTGAAATATCATTTGTTTCTTTTCACTTAAAGTCCTGTTCTCACTACTATTCTCGTCCTTGTAGTAAATATTATCTGTTTCCCGGCTGTTACCTGGCTGTGTTTCTTCTCTGTGGGCAAGCTAAGTGACATTCCAGCCTAAGGAGGTTGGAATGTCACTTAGTTGAGTGACGCAGCACAGTTGATTACTCACTTTGTAACAAACGCCCGCTCCACGCAGACAATGTAATAGCATTCCACGATTACAATCATAATAACCGGTTCAATCCCTGAATACTACTGCAGCACCACATCTGCCTTTGGTCAGAGAGCTCACAGAACCTAGATATGATTATGTGGTACCGACACCGCCGTTCGGGGACTAGTACCACCGCTCTGCTCAAATCAGTTGTGAGTTGTTGTGAGGCGCTTTGAGGCGGCGTCAGAACTATCTCGTACTATAAATAAACGTTCAACGCAATGTAATCCGCGACTTCGAGTCCTACTATGATCTATATTATTTTTAATTCGTATAGATAATAGTAGTGTGTTGTTTGGTTGTTGCAGTGTTGTCGTGTGGCGAGGCCGGCGGCGGCGGGCGGCTCGTGAAGCGCTACGTGGGGCTCTACACGGGACCCTACTTCGACCCCTCGGCGCCCAACAACATAACCACGCAGCTCGGCACGCACGCCTATCTGCCCTGCAAGGTACCACTCGCTTACTTCACCGACACTCATCGGCAGCTGACATACCGCGGCGTCGGGAGGCCGGCCCGTATATAGTCGTCGGCCTACAAAGACAATTAAAAAAACCTTACCGCGTTGAACAAGCAATTGTTTGAGGAAGTGGCAGTACCCTCGCTGAGTTAATATGAAGAATATGTGGGACTCTACAAACTATTATTCGTTCAAACACCTAGCCTTTTTTTTTCAAATGAGCAATTTAATAAGAAAAAGTCGACTCATCAATAACGCGTTGAGACACCTTGTATTATTTATTATTGAATCTCTCGATATCGACTAAAATATTAACATCACTAGTCCACTTCGCTTCAAGGCGGTCGTAGTACTGATGTCACTGTAACACGGCGGCAGCGCTCCTAGAGCAGAGTCAGCCACGGCGGAGGAACCGTCACATCACGTGCTCTGCTTCAAAGTAGACACACTTGTCACTCCAAGCTCGATCAGTAACACAACACCCCCCAACACGCACAGTGCGCGCACGACGTAATGAGTAATGTGGCGAGGCGCTGGTCGCAGGTCCGTCAGCTGAGCAACAAGTCGGTGTCGTGGATCCGGCGCCGGGACGCACACATCCTCACCGTGGACCGGTTCACGTTCATCGCCGACGAGCGCTTCCAAGCCTTCCTGGTCGAGGCGACCGACACCTGGACCTTGCAGGTCAGTCACCGCCCCACCGTCGCCCTACCGCCGCCCTACCATCGCTCTGTACTGCATTCCAACGCAAGTCGCGGTACCCTATCGGTAGAATGACTATACTTATATAGTACTTGAGTACGATTCCTTAATGAACGTCCGATGCCCTGTTAAATATGTACTTGTTATATCAGTCGCACACGTAGAATTTGTGAGAGATACATATGTGTATTTACTCTTAAACAGACATCTACACACTATATTTGTAAGAATATAGAGAATAAGACGCCGGTACACTGTAATGTACAAGTGACAAGCAATCACCGGGAGTATCAACCGAACACCATTTCTTTGAAAACAAGTATTTCACGTGTTCTTGAATTGACTCAAACGATTTCCACGATGAAGGAACAGCGTCGTGTAATAATTTATTAACATTAAACCCATCTCTTCAGACTAAAACAAGAAGTCTGGCTACAATGATAAGATCGTATCGATCGTATCTGTGTGCGATAGAATAATGCGAGTGAGTGTAAGTGTCGCGTGTTCCAGGTGAAGTACGTGCAGGCGCGCGACGCCGGGCTCTACGAGTGCCAGGTCGGCACCGAGCCCAAGATGAGCCACTTCGTGCAGCTCAACGTTGTAGGTGCGTGTTGTGGTCCGTGGGCCGCACGTGTAGACCGCAGGCGTAGTGACGTAGTTAGTGATAACGAGCAGTCGCAAACATGTGCTTTTAGCATTGTAGACAGGCAGACAACATGGAGAGTCTGTGAGCAAATAATGTTATTAATGGTTGACGATCAAGAAATGATTTCATAGTCTGATGCCACCGTAAGTTTTGAAGTGCCTGTTGTTTTAATATATTAAATACATATAAAATTATATTTATTATACTATATTTGATTTCGTTTATAAAGTACTTTGCTGCTGGTAGAACGTCTTGTGAATCAGTATACTTTCTATTTAGTTTATTTCTGCCGAGAAGCAGCTTTGCATTTCGGTTTACAAGTTTGTACAATTGTTATACAATTCAACTGAGAGAGATTTCATGCCTCAAGGTAGTTATTTTGTATTGCTGTCATAGACCGAGCAGCTGACAACGTACCTGATTTATTTATTTATTTAGTCTACTTACAAATTAACAGTATAAACCAAAACATTTGTAAGGTATTCATAATTAGCTTAAGTAATTTCTAACAACAACAATAAATCGCTGCAAACCATCATGGAATATATCCATTTCCGGAGCATAGGCTAGCAAGCCATTGAGTAGCGAGACAGCACGATGCGTCGGAGAGTTAGCGGCGTGCTGCGTACGCGCGTGCGTAGTACTAAGTAGCTGCCGCTGGCGACGCGCCCCTCCACACATACATCCGCGCATGTAGCCATCAGGCACATATAACGACACTGATTCCAGTGCAGTCGAGTTATCAATTTTGTTATGCAATAGCTGATAATAATGTACCATAAGAGTCATCTTCCGTCTCAGTCATGCTCCTGGCCGTCCTCAACACCAGCGGAAGTGCAAAGGCGCTATCTGGGGCTGACCTTCTGGTCAAACTTTCGCATCATCGTAGAGTTGACGTGACTTTGCGCGTTCCCTCTATGATATACACTTGCCTGAGCTCCGCGTGACATAGCGTGCGATCCGGTGAGAGCTATAAATACCCAGCTCTTTAACTGTCTTGAGAATCGCCAGCTGATCAGTGACAGCACACATTGGTTCACAATATAGTTTACATCACGGTTACTCAGCTTGAAATCTTTATATATATGTACAGTTTTCAAACGCAACAAAATAAATGCGTGCGTACGTGCTATTTAAAATCTTGTGTAGGACAGAGAAAATGTACCTAATGGATTGCATGTGTTTGTTTACAGTGCCAAAGATAGAGATAGTGGGAGAGTCAGACCTGTACGTGAAAGCGGGCAGCACGGTGAGCCTGAAGTGTGTGATCACGCAGGCGCTGGAGGAGCCCGCCTACATCTTCTGGTACCACAACGACGAGCGGGTGCTCAACTACGACCGCTCGCTCGTCGAGATCCGCATGGACCGCGTCGCCCCCGACACCACGGTCAGTCCCTCCGTCGCTCCCTGCCTCGACCTCGACGACAGACGAGCTTACAGGCGAACTCAACAGTGACACGTTACGTTTCAGATCGGGAACCTCATCATCTACAGCTCCCGGCGCGAGGACTCCGGTAACTACTCGTGCGCGCCCTCCAACCTCGACTCCGCGTCCGTCGTGCTGCACGTGCTCAGTGGTCTGTGCAATATGCTTTGTCTCTTCGACAAGTCTTCTTGCACCTCACTAGTTTAATATAAGACCGAAATACTTAACGTGACGGATACGAACGGACGTGTAACGGAATCATTCAAAGTGGTTTTTTTTACACTTCGAGATGTCCCATTAATTTTACTATTTATTTAATTAAAAACTCTTATGTTTGGGGTGGGTGACTTTACTATTAGAATAGAGTTTTATTGAGCTTTAAACATAATATATTTCCTTATGTCACTCGTTTTTCTTTTTCTTTCTGTTCCGTTATCGTCACCTCTTCTATAACTTTCTACAAACAGGTTAAATTTGTTCTACGTACTGGACGATGATTTTTGGAGCTGATACCTAGTTTTAATTCAGTTTCATATCAGAGCCTGTTTAAAACAAAACAAAAATATTTTTATCACATGAAATATTTATGATATTTTATCTTATTAATATGCATTTCGTTCAAAATAATCCGTATTGGCCGTAACACAATCACTTGAAACTTGTGAGCAATTAATCGATTGAAAAAACGCTGTATCAATTCGCTCAAAAATGACCACTGTTCATCTTATCTTATGGAATCCTAATTATTGTGCCGTTTAGAGGATACATACAGCACATACTTTCCAAAACAAACGATAAGGCAAATACAAAGAGTTTCAGATCTGGAATGATGAAATCAAAAATTACCCTTATCAGCCGCGTTTGTGTGGATCATTTTTGTTTATCTACACGTGGTGTGGGTGGACTTGCTCATGACCTATCTAGTTTTAAGTGACTACCGGAGCCCATAAGTCCCATTATGTATTGTTACGGTAACGGTTACCCACCCTTCTAATAGGAACGCATGTTTACTTTGCGGCAGAATAAGCAGGATGGTGCACCCACCCGTGCAGGCTTACAATTCGCCCTTCTGCAATAAAAGAAACGCGCTTTGTGAGCCAATTCTGAGTCTTGCTGAGAGAGGACCATTCTTGATTATAGATATTGTTTTGTTAAGAGTTTGTTATGCTCCTCTGCCTACAAGGGCAATAAAGGCTATAAAAATTAGATTAAATGCGAGATTAAATAACAACTTCACAAGAGCTCATTGTTCAATGTATGGACATTAAATACCTGATGTCGTACCGTATTGAATTGTCTTGGAAGCTACGAGATATTAAGACGTCGCACGATGGTCACGTGTGTAACAGTAAAAAATGTTTTTATTTTTATGTTAACATAGCGGTGTTTGTGTGTCCAGGAGAGCAGCCGGCCGCGATGCAGCACGGGAACGGAGCCGCCCTGCCCCCCGCGCCGCGCCTCCTCACCCTCCTGCTGGCGCTCGCACTCGCGCTTCTGCTCACGTCAGTCGCCACCACGGCATTTGCCTTTATATTTTTAGCCGTCGAAGGCATAATAACTTACCGCCCCCTGACGACCAATGCTCGCTCGGGGACATCGGCAATGCCACGAGCACATCTATGGCGCTGTCTAACGCTGAAGACACATACATCTTCTCTCGTGGTGCTTGGGAAATATTTTCGCCCTAAATCTAGTTGCAGTCATACAGGTTAACCAAGAGAGAGCGGCAGGAGTCTAGGAGAACGTTACTAACGACATCTCAGACGAGAAACCGGGGAGCACGGCTCTTAAAGTCGACACGTTATTAGTACATGACACGTGCAGGTGTCAGCGCGGACCCGCGCCCCCACCACACGGGGACCAGTAGACGTTCACTGCGAAGCGTAACGTGAAAGCATTTCAAATGAAATATGGAAACATATTTTCTAAGCTTTGCTGTACCTGTTCCTAAAGTGCACGTTTATAATTCCAGATTATTGTGCCACGACGAGGACGAAGGCAAATAGCGGAGCGAGGTCGCGGCGGGGGGGTCGCGCGGGGGGACCGCGGGGGCGCCCCCCTCTGTGCTCGTGTTCATACAAGACGCTGTTTGTATCGGTTCTAAAGTTTATATTGCGGGAAACAAACCTGTGTAAATATTGCGGCGCCGCCGAACTTGTAAAGATGTAAATACTAAGCTAATATAGTTATAATTGATTAAAATATTATTAAATTAATTAAACTGTGAATTAATCTGCCGCGAGAGCGACGTGAGGCCCGTCGCGTCACGCACGCACACAGTCATGTTGTGTGTACCGTTACGTTAGTGCCAGTACACACTCGCACGTGCGCTGCGTGACGCTGCGTGACGCTGCGACGCGACGGTGTGACGCTGCGTGCGTGACGACTCGGAGCGTCGCTCTGCTGCTAGTTCAACAGTACAAACCTATTAACGAACTAATGGAATTGTGAACCGTCACTTGTAAAGAATATTATTAATGACATTACGTGTGTTGTATATTTTTATCGAATTTTAATTACCTACATGTGTACGACGTGAGCCGCGACAGTTCGATCCCTCGCGCTGACTTCTAGCTGCGGAGTATTACTGAACCCCACCGAACCATAGCCGATCATTCGTTGTGTGTATTAGAAACCTGAGCGATGTATAAAGCTCCAATCGCTCCCTATTCATTTTGAAACGTTCTGTGGACAAATCTATGAAACTGCCTAATGGTTCAACCATTACGTCTTTATCATTTCCTTATTAAATAAATGTGGTGTTTCGAAACGAAATAAAGGTAATCAAATATTGTCCACAACAAGGTCCGCTGTACCCTAGCACTGCACACAACTGCATTGTACTGAACGCGAGTATTATGTAACGCAGGCATGTCTAAAGGCTTCGTCAGCGTTCTGAACTATCAGCACGCGTCGTGTCTGAAGGCAAGTCTATCTGGTGTCGAATGTCGCGGCTGATCTCAGACACGCGCTACACTCGTCTCCTAGAGGCGACTGGACCGCGTGGCGGGTTATGTTCTGTTGACACTGTTACTGCCTCACTTGTACATACATTACTTTAAGGATAAAAATAAAGATGAGATCGTTGAAACATTATACCGTCTCTCATTTAACTCCCTCGTCCACTCTTCCCTCATGCTTCCGCCGCTCACAGTGGGGTTATCGATTAACAACAAAGTCATGTAACGACACAAATATTTTTATTTAATAATTGCGGACACACATTAAAGTTTTTCAATGAGATCACACTAACAATGTGAATGAATAAAACTCACAAAATTGAAACGTCATCATTCATCGAATACTTGATTCAAACGTATCGGTGCTACAAATTTAATATTCAGTCAATCGAACAACGGACAGAATACATTCCAAAGATAAGGCACTTACAATAAAGCTAGCAGGATGATAAAAATACAATAATACACGCTCATAATTACATTCATTTAGTCGAGAAAACACCGCGACCGCATTCATTTGATGAGATGCGCATAACATTACAAATAATGTTTAGAGCCTGCATACCGACATACTTTTACCTGTCAAATATTATAATATAGAATGATCGATAGGTATATATATATTTAGGTCGATCAACAGTAGATTATGCTACTTTAAAACCATACAAACAAATAAAAACTGCAAAAGAGTGATTCGTGCAAGTCCAATGACACTGGATGTATTATACAATACTAAGCAAGGGTTACACTGATGAGTTCTCCTGTATGAAGGTCCGGAGTTGGTCGCGCAGAGAGTAGTTGGGCGACACGAGGACACTGCGCATGCGCCGACCAGACACCGGAGACACAGCGCCTTCTGACACACAGGATACATCTCTTTACTTCGATAACAACAGCAACAACAACTCAACTGACTAACTACTGAGTGTCGACACTTCCCGGCTACACTAATCAGTCAATTCAAAGTCGTTCCGTGTGTTTGTTCGCCGCAACATCACGAAGCCTGTCTAGGCTATTTCAAAAAGTCTGTTATTTCATCAAATATTAATAATATATGTCGTCGCAACTCACTATTTGGTTAACTAAGATTAGTTAAAGTTTGCTGTTTCCTTAATATTACGCATCTAGCAACTGTTGGAGACGGTATTCAAGAGAATTCATGACTAAGCTACTCCCACTATTGTAATACAAATACGAGTGACCATTGTCGCATAAAACGTCATCGTTCTCATCGAACCCGTCGCTTGCGACGAAGGGCTCGACGAGGTAATTAACCGATAGACACTGCCCACTGAGTTTCTCGCCGGATCTTTTCAGTGGGTCGCGTTTCCAATCCAGTAGTAAATTCTGGGAAGCTCTGCTCTTGCTAGGGCTAGTGTTAGCAACGTCGTCAGGTTTGAGCCCGTGAGCTCACCTACTTGTTAGGGTTAGGTAGGCAAAAAAAACGCACAAAGCATTCCGGCTCGAGCAGTCGAACGGAGCGCAGCTCTCTGCTGTTATCGCTGTACACTTGAATATAATGTGTAGTAAACCGAATTCATTGGAAAAGTGAGTCTTAATTACTGTCACTATGGAAGGCATTTATAATGATGAAGAGAATAGTGGCAACAGCGCTGACGTTATCATTTTAAAAACCATGTAACCAGCCTCTCCGTCATACATATATACATAATATATTAAAATATAATAATACAATTATAATAATATATAAGTATAATACTATCACTTAAATGAGTACGTAAGTAGTAAGAATGATTTTTGGCAGCGTTTCAATTTCTTAATACATATATATGTACATTTTTTATTTGATATTTTTTTCCCTGTAGACAGACGGGTATACGGCCCACCTGATGCCACATCATCAATGCCAGGGGCAGAGCTAAGCCACTCGTCATGATAATCGCCTTATCTTTGCCGCCGCTGATTACTCCCCGAACCCTGATCACGCAGGAGCCAGTCACCGTCGACGCCCTAGACACGTCCTTACGGATCCATCAGATTCAATAACCTTTGCATTAGACGTCTTCAGCTCTAACACTAGGAGCAGGCTTAGGGATCCCGGTAACCGTACTCGTCGAGCTCGATAAGGAGGTCGACGTGCAACCTAACCCATGAATCAGCCCACTGAGTTACTTGCCGGATCTTCTCAGCGGGTCGCGATTCCGATCCGGTAGTAGATTCATTCGCGAAGCAGCTGCTCTTGAGTTGTTAGGTCTCCTTTGGAGGCGCTCCGGCAGCTGTTACCAAATCCCACCCTCCTGGCTAAGCCTATGCTTGCCCACCTGTCCTGGTGAAACTGGAAAGGCCTCCGGGCCACCAGTAATCTTTCAATCATAAAAAAAGCTAAGCCACTGCCTACCTTCCTATTTTCAAGTAATGTAATTCTAATCCAATTGAAAGATAACAAACTTATGTACATTGAGTACAGTGAGTTTGATATTAAGCGCGCTCTTCATTCCCGGCAATACTACACGAGACTAGCCGAGCACGGGAGTGTAGAGACCCTGTTCGCCTCGTCCTCGCCTACATCCGTGTACATCCGTGTCGGTGTCATGTCGGTACTATTGCGCGATACGGAGCCCAACACCCCCCCCCCCCCACTCCCGTCTCGATTATTCCACCGGCAATAAACGAAGTGCGCGCACGTCGTTTTTATTATCAACGGCGCTTTTTTTTCTTTTGCTAACATATAATTGTAGTAGGCTGGAGTACATAAAGCTACAGCGGCAGACGTTTCTAATAAGTCAATCCTGTACGAGTTCTGAACGGGCATTGCGTGAGTGGGAATGTCGTCATGTCCCGGCAGGAGTGTAGAGCGCGCTTTAGTAGCGTCGCGGGGTGGTGCAAGGGGCTGGTCGTAGTTACCGGCTGCGATGAACCACTGCACGATGGCGGCGCGCTCGTAGGTGAAGCCGTCGGGCGCGCGGGCCGGCTCGCGCAGCACGCGGTGCGTCAGCGGACAGCGCAGCCGGTGCGGAGCCGCCGCGCTCTGCGCACACACACGCACCGACGTGCCGCGTTACTTAAGGGAAGCGTATGTCGACTCACTCGTCGGGCAAAACATATAATTCTAAAATAAACATGTCGAGGAGACAGGAAACACATCACTGTATGTTAAAAAGACTTGTAAGAATGATACAGGCTGTCCCAAAAGCTGTATGTCGAGCAGTAAGCTGTAGAAGGTATTTTACAATTCAATTTTACAATTTCGTTTAGTATACAGAGAATTCAAATAATTTGTTATAAAAAAAATTCAATCATTCAAAATATGCACCCATGGTATCGATTCCTCTCTGCCTGTGGAGTATATGTTCAAAGCCCTTCTTGAGGAGCTTAGGGTGTACGAGAGCTAACAAATTGAAGAGCTCTTCAAAGGTTTTTGTACTGCCTCTCGGGTAATAATTATTTTTTCCTGCCAAGAAGTTATCCAAATATTGAAAAAAGTATAAATCTGTCAGCGTAAAGTCTAGGATGTACGATTGATGATGCAAAGCCTGCAACACGAGCTCTCATAGCTTGTAGGCCGGCTGATGTGACGTACAAGGTCGTACGTAACGTAACGTAACGTGATGTCGAACATTCTGACCGGCAAAAGAGTAGTATCGGTCCTCAACCAGTCGAGCTCAGCGCGCAGCCTCGCGCGGGTCTCCGCTCGCTCCAGCTCCTGCTTGCTGCACTCCTGTCCGTCTTCCGGCGCCGCTTCACCTGTAAACCAACCACAAAACTTATCGAATAAATCTGGTTCATTTCATATCATGGTTTACCTGTTACTTTGCAAGAAGACTAATAAATCAATAAATCCATCAACGACGTTATCCCGACGTTGCCTTTCATTCGGTGTATGATCGAATTGTGCGAGTGTGACTTACCATACCCGAGGTCGTCGAGGAGTTCATCGACCGGCACATCGAGCAGCTGAGCTCCGGTGAGCGCAAGGTCCTGGGCTCTTCTCATCAACACGGTTTTCTCTTCGTGCGTCATAAGCGCGCCTAAGACATAATTTAATTAGTTTTAAACNGACGTTATCACGACGTTGCCTTTCATTCGGTGTATGATCGAATTGTGCGAGTGTGACTTACCATACCCGAGGTCGTCGAGGAGTTCATCGACCGGCACATCGAGCAGCTGAGCTCCGGTGAGCGCAAGGTCCTGGGCTCTTCTCATCAACACGGTTTTCTCTTCGTGCGTCATAAGCGCGCCTAAGACATAATTTAATTAGTTTTAAACTGAAGCGATCAAAATAATGAAACTCAATAAATATATAATTCTGACCGGGCGGATGTATGACGTACTCATGAAGCCATCGCGTTACCCCGGCGAGTCCCCAGAACCTGGGCGCAGTGCAGTCGTCCTCGGCGCGGGCAGCGGGCGGCGGCACCCGCCACACCGCCAGCGCGCCGCCCAGCGAGCCCACCGCCAGCAGATCGGCGAACAGCGCGGCCGCCAGCGCGCCCCCCGCGCCGCTCCCCTCCGCCGCCGCGTGCGCTTCCAGCCCCGCGCCGCGCCACACGCGCGCCCACCGGTCCGCGCCCGCCGACACCAGCGCGCCCGCGCCCCCCCACCGCACGCACGACACGCCGCCGCCGTGCGCCTCCACCTGCCGCACCAGCCGCACCTCCGCCCGGTCCCCATCCTAAACAAATCATTTAACTTCACTTTATTTCGATTGTTCAACCTACACTCATAATAACTGGTGGTAGAACATCTCATGAACACGCACGGGTAGGTATCACCCACCCTGCCTATTTCTGCCGTAAAGCAGTAATGCGTTTCGGTTTGAAGGGCGGAACAGCCACAGTACTGTAAAAAGTGATACTTTATAACTTATATCTCAAGAAGGGTCATTTACGTTGTTAATGTCAACAGGACGGGCCATGAACTCGTACAAAAAAGATGTGTGGTGTCCTGGGACACCGGATACGAACGAAGTTCCTTATTATAAAAATATTAATTTTAAGTTCTATTCGAGGTATAAAGAAAATAATTATTCGGGTAAACATTTTTATTATGATTTTCTTATTGATAAATATAATGAAAAATTACTTTACAAAGTTATCAACTTTATTTTTTTCACAATGATTTATAAAGAATATATAATAATAATATACAAAGAAACAGCTATTTATATGAATAAT